TTGCTGAGTTCCAATAATCACCAATATATTTCATTACATGGTTTCTATCAATGATATTTTCAAATTTCTTCAGTAACATGATAATTTCAGTAGAAGTTTTATTATTGACTGTTTGACTGATTGTATGACTGCCTATGTTATGCATTATAATCTTGCATGTCTTTCTAGAATCCTTACATGCCACCATTTTTTGTTTTACTTGTCCACATTTGATCCTAGATCGACCATATTCTTTCCTATATTCATATATAATCTCCACTAACTTCATCAGGGTATCTTCTGAATCAGCCAGCAGTGCTGTGTCATCTGCATAGCAATTATTTCCATTCATCCTAATACCTTCTTCTACTTCCTACTTTCATCTACAAGTGTTGAAAGAAGTCACTGACATTATACAAACCTTTCTAACTCCTGCTTATTCCCTGCTAGATTTTCATTTTCCATTATGTTCTCTGATTCCAGGATAAATTGTTATTACGCAGAGTTTGTAACCATCAATTCCTACAGATATTAATATATTGAGTGATTTGTATGAATTGAATAAGTTAAAATACCTCAAAATATACTGTTTTCCCCATTTCCACTGATCTTTCTAAAGTGAGCAACTTCAAACTCATTTCACACTTTAAGACACGTTGTCTGATTATTTTTTAATCAATCTTTCTTTCTATTGTGCCTTGAACAGCTCACCAAAGTATCTTAGAGGCATGCAATATTACACAGATAGTTCCGTAGCCTTTACAATTCATAGTGCTGGTTTTTTTTGGGGGGGAGGGGGGGAGATCACAGGGATTTGTATACACAGTGAGGTAGTAACGTCTTTTGGCAATTCTGCTGTCTCAAGCATATTCTTCATTCATCTAACAGGACTTACAAACTTCAGCCCATATGCTTTTAAACAATTCAGTGCTTTGGGTTCAGCCTTCTTTTTATTACTGCCATGATTTCTTTATTCATTACTGGAAGGCTTACCTGATTCATCTCTAGTTGAGATATTTTTAAGACTAGCTTCACCATATAGTTCCTAGTCTGATCATTTTTCATTCTTGTCTTTAAGGACAACCAAGGACACCTGAAGAGAAGATCTGGCTGAAAATTGACCCTCCTTAATGATATCCTGGAAGTGTTCTCTATGCTCCTATGGAAGATGTTCAATAACAGACACAAATTTGTTCTAAGTTGGGTAGTAATATTTGGCCAGGATCACCCGATCAGTATCAGATCTCAAACTGAAGGTTGCAAAAGAGTAGGCCTTCCATCTAAAAAGATCTAACCTTTTCTGGTCCTTGTTATAGAAGGAGTAGATCTGGAGTAATGCTGTCTACCCTGCTCATTTATAGCATCTGCTCCCAGGGAATTGGTGAGAATGAGAAAAAAATTCTGAATCTCTGGAGGGAACAAAATATTCCTTATCTGCCTATTTAACTCCTTCCCTCATCCTGCCAACTTGTAATCTCACAGTTTTTGCGGTAGCTAGGAGCACTTCCAGGTGGGTGTTGCCAACTGCAAAGCATCCAAGAATTTGTGATGTGAGTTTTTAACCATACCAAAAGGTATGTGGAAGGTATCCATTAGGGATGTTAAATAGCCATTAATTGAATAATCGATTAACCCCATGAATTCTTAGCGGTTAGTTGACTATTCTATAATCCCTGGCAGGAGCGGCCCAAGGCTGGCTGCAGCAGCTGGCACCCTAGGCGGGGCGGTGCAATCGCCGCCCTTACCTGCACAGCCGTCAATGGCAATGACATCATCACAGGGCACCCCGTGACATCATCATCGGGTGCCCGGGGCAGCAGCACCCTAGGCAACTGCCTAGCTTGCCTAGGCTCACGGGCCGCCCCTGATCCCTGAGCCGCCCATGTTCAGGGAGCAGGGGTCTGAGCTTCCGGACACGGCATGAGCTGGAACTGAGCCAGGTTGCCTGCCCACCTGATTTCTAATACACTTTAAATTCAGAGCCGCAGCGGGGATAGGTCCCAGTGCAAGCCAGGAGTTAGCTGAGCTGCTGGCCAGCCTGCTAAAAAATTTACTGGCAAGGGGAGGGGGGAGGGAGAGAAAATGCATGTAGTCTATAGAATTAACCTGTAAGCTTTTGCTTATTGGTTAAACGACCATACTATTACATCCTTAGTATCCATCATTCTCTTCACAAGGTCCTGGAATTCATTAAAATTATCACCCATCCATCGTTGTACTCTGCCTTGTCCAGAGATGAAGACAAATAAGGGCTTTGAGGGGTAAGCCTCTCTGTCTACCACCTACTCTTCTGTTCTCAAACGTCTCCTGGAATTGAGAGAAGACTGTGCAATCATTGTTTCCTGGGGCAGCGGAGCCAGAGGTCTAGCAAATTGTTGTTATACACCACCAAGAATCATTGTATAGCTATTGAGAAGGTCCATATGGAAAAGTCCACGTGACTGATCCCACCATCGCTGATGTGATTGAAGATCTGTGTCAAAAGTATGTGTTTCTGTAATTATGAAGAAGGGGAGGAGACTAACTGAATGTCCCCTTCATCCTCCTCAATGACCTCTACGGAGGGGCCACAGTAAAAATGAGCGGGAACACTGCAGTACTGGGAAGCACTGGTAAACCAGGGATTGGGCTCTCAGTACTAAAAGTTGGTCAGTCCCCCTGGCAGCGGAGACTCCAGCTTATCTAACACTGCAGTACCAAGTGGGCCTGTAACAACACAGCAGCTAATTTGAGTGGTAACATTGGTTTGAAGTGCATGGGTGTCATGGCTGAAGGCCTGTGCTTTGATTTTCTGGGAAAACACCACTAGTAAGTCTGAAATAGAAGTGCCAATTTGGAGGCAAATGGCACCAGAGCCCCACTGGTGCTGTGTTTCACTGAAGTGCTTTGGGATCTCCCTGCTCTGCCAGTACCATAGAGAAGACTTTTGCTTCCATAGTACCAAGTCGAGAAGTCAAGGCCACTTATATAACAGACCTAGCAGGAGGTTGTGTTGGGAAACTGAGCTCCTCTTCTTGGGAGTCTTCCCTCATTCTCTAAGATGGCAAGACTTTAGCTGAAGTCAAAGGGGCACTGGATTTCTCCAGTGAGGGTCAGAACCAGGTTGAACTCCATCAGTAGCAGCTTCAGTTTGCTCTCATGATTTTTCCAAGTGCTAGATTTTAGAGCCAAGCAAAAGTTACACTTTTGGAAGATATGGATCTCTCCCAAGCAATGGATACACTTGGAATACCCACTTCTGATCGAGACAGTCTCCTAACATAAGTGGCAGTGCTCGAAAATGAATGAGACATGTCCAGCCAAATATGCTTCCCAGAAAAATGGGGAGATGACAAACAAAAGAGATGAAAGAGATGACAAACAAAAGTCTCACAACTATCTAACCATCAAAGACACAAACACCAGCATTACAGACTGCCTGGTCTACTGCCACCACTTGAAACCATAAGTAATCAATCAGGAAGCAACAGAGACAAGAGTGTGAGTGTGAGACTGAGTGTGAGAGCGCAAATAGTGTATTGTGCCCATACTGCATCTTACAGGTAGGCACTGTCCATATCCCGCCCTTATCCCCACTTATACCAACACAATGGGGTTGCCAGCCCCAGGCAGCTGGAGGCAGCAAAGCAGGAGCAAGGCTGGTGTCTGCGCAGCTTCCAGCCTTTCCCTCCACTGGGTTGTGGATGTGTTGATTTTACCCTCCCTTCCCCATCTGAGTCAGGAATGCACTGTTTTTATTCTTCCTCCCTGTGTGGGGGGGGGGACGACACTGTTTTTACACACATGCATACACATTGCTCTGTTACAAGGGGACAACCTTGCAAACTCATGCCAGCAATGAGCAGCAAGCTCAGCTGCTGCTGAAGCCTGGCCTGGAGTTTCAGCTTGTGGTCTGGAGCCCAATGTGTGCTTTGTTCAGAGTTGTAAACACTTTAGAGTTACCAACAACTTCCATTCCCAAGGTGTCTATAACTGAGGTAACTGTAATTCTAGACTAACACCACCACTTACTAGAAACACAAAACTAACTAAACAACAACTACAAAACATGCTGATGCATGCATGAGGTGGACACACTAGAGCTCTGTCTCAGGCCATGGCAGTAAAGAAAGAAAGGAGGGTAGTTCATCTGTACTGGTCATACAGTCCAAATGGACACTGCTACAGAAAGTCTCCAACCAAGGACTCAGGGGCACACATACACCTGCTGAGAAGCACTCCTAAGGACAGTGCTCAAAAGAAGAATTTATTTATTAAAAAAAAGATACAAATTATTTCCTTGAAATACCTTAGACAGAATTTTATGGAGCTCTCAGCATAATAGTGACTGCAGTAGTAAGATAATTATACTGACAATCTCAAGAATAATTATACATTCATTTAAGCTGCATCTACACAGCAGGGCTTAACTCGAAATAAGCTACACAAATTGAGCTACATTAATTGCGCAGCTTATTTCAAAATAGCTTATTTAGAAATTGGGAGTGTCTACATAGCATTTATTTCTAAATGGAACACTCTTCCTCCGACTTCACTTACTCCTCGTACATTGAGGGTTACAGGAGTCGGAGTAAGTAGTCCTCCAGCTTGACAGTATTTTGACATTATTTCGAAATAACTGCCTGCTGTGTAGATGTGGATTAATTTATTTTGAAATAATGTTGCTGTGTAGACGTACCCTTAGATACTTAATAAATTCTTTTTCTGTCACCAATGGCATGTGTTTCATTGGTACTTTCAAATTTTTTAGAATTAAAATAACTCTCCAAGCACAATAAGATGATGCTTAAAATTAACTATACATATTATAACATAGCAAAGCTCCTTTGTTTAGTTTATAAATATGTTTAAGTACTGAACTGGTTATTACCATACAAAGAAAGCTGTTTTCTTGAATTCTGAGAAGTGAAAAACAACATTTATTAAACTGCCTACCCTGCATAAAACAACTTCATAATTGCACATTGTTTTGAACATGATAGAATTCGCTAAGCATTGAAAAAAAGTACATGTTTCCTTACCCATTCCCCTAGGATGCGTTGCACAGCTTCATTGGCTCTCGACATATTTCTGCAAGCAAGGATGACACAGGCACCATGGAGCGCAAGAGACTTTGCAGTTTCAAATCCTATGGTAAAATTTTTAAAAAAGCAATTTCAATAAGAGAAAGAGGAGTTGTATAAACTCATAATTCAAGGGTATGAAACCAGGAACTTAGGAATTTCTTGAATATGCATCTCCTCTGTTTTAGTTAGATGAGCCTATCTTTGTAAGGACAGATTCAAAAGATGATGGACACTTGAGTGTAGTTAAGCTGTGCCCAGCAAGTGCCTGGAATGCACAATCAAGTCAAAGCTGCTTACAGACAAATGCCCACAGGATTTTAGGATCATATAACTTAGGCGCATGCAAAACTCCACTGGTGCTTTTGCATATATAGCATCTTAACTGCTCTGTCTCAGTTTTCTCACTTGTAAAATTAGGATAATTACTATTATTCATTTGCAAATGAATAATAGTAATTAACTTCATAATACACAGAAGCCCCACTTCATACCTTACACAGTTAGGAACATTTAACAGTTTGGATGAAATCCGGGTGGGACCTTTGCCACTGACTTAAGTGGGGTTAGGATTTCAACCTGAAAGCCCACAACACACAAGCTGCAGTATTGCTACTTAACTGCTAAAAATGATCGTAACTCAGACCAGCTTCTCTCTTCAAAACTAAACACAACATAGAATTCCATAATTTCAGATGAGTTTTTCTTACACATAATTAATGGAAGAGCTGAGTTTTATTGTTCCTTTTAAATGCTGCTTCAAGCCTTGAGTATGTTAGCATATGTTGTTACTTTTGCAAAGACAGCATGGGAATGGTGAGGAGAGGCCCAGGTGTGTTTATAGGCTTGGATGAATTCAACACACCTAGAGCTGGCCTGTAATTGATCAACACAAGGGCCTCTCATGACAGATTGGACATTGAACACACAGTGGGCAGGTCTTCATTTTGGGCCAGATCAATGGGGTAGCAATCAATCCAGTGGGGTTGATAAATCACCTGCTGGTCTCCCATCAGCTCTATCAGAACAAGAAGAGTAAGGGGAGTCAATGAGAGAGGGTTATTTTCTGTTCTCCCTGCGCCATGTGGTAAGTAGATCTCAGTTACATTGATTTGAGTTATGCTGCTAATGTAACTTATATTGTATAGCTTAGATCGCCCTCTCCCCATGCTGTAGTCCTGCCCAGTGTGGAGAAATAAAGATGCCAGACAGTGGAAGAAACCTGCCTCCCTTGCTGATCTTCTTTCCCCTTTGTTTGCTAAAAGCCTGCATCAAGATACTGGAATACACAACCCCAAGCTGGTGTTAATTGCCATAGTCTCATTACAGTTCACTGACATAGGTCTATGCCAGCTTACACCAGATGAGACTCTGCTCTGATTTAAGGTGAACAGGACTGGGTCAATAACTAGGGTTCCAGCTGGAGCAAGTTAGTTGTGGGCTATTTAGCATTATTACTTGGTGTCCTCTTGCTTCGCAGCACTGTAACAATGCAAGAGAAATTTACATCTAGCTGAAAGAGGCAACTTACCATAACAGCATTTAATGAGTTTCAATTAGAAAAGCTTAAAACTAGAACATAAAGAATCAAATCATAATGCCCAGTAATTTGAGTATGAACATATTAGAAAGTCACAGAGAAGGGGAGGCTATTTGTTCCAGCTTTATGTGGTTTAAAGCATATTCACGTTTTCCTTTTAAAATTTGTTTACCAAGGAAAACCTATTAAGTTATGCTGTCTCACTTCCAAAAATGCCCTGGGGCAAAAGAAATTCAGTCACAACGTAGAGTATAACAGAATCAACAGACACCAGCCAAATGTATACCATTCTCTGCAATTACATACTTGTGCTATTTCAGCCAATGCAATTTTCCTGTATCTCTCTTTAAACCATTCATTGTACTAAGCAATTTTAATTACATGGGAAATTCTCTGTATGCACACGAATGTACCTTCAGCACATGCAAAGAATATTTCCCCTGTTCCTAATTCCATTTCAAGCACATACAGCAGGGTAATTTTAAAATGTAACAAATGTAGCACATGTTGTATTGCAACATTGTTAGCTAGCCATATGCTAGTTGATTTACCAAAAAAAAAGTACTAATTTTAATAGCTCTACATATTGCTAAAATCTGGTTTGAACCCCCTGAGAATCGTGTTCTTTTGCATTGTAATACTAGCAGCACAGAGCTGATGACCAGTTTAATTAGCTAAATGTAACTGCGCTTAGTCAAGTCTATCCTGTGCCATATTTTGTGTGAAATAATTAACTCCAAACCTCTCATATTTTCAGTTAATAGAAGTATGAACTGTCTGACAGTTTAAAATAGAGATAAAGTTACATGTTACAATTTAGATATCTTTATCCTGCTCTTGCAATCATAACAAGCAATGGGAAAGTATCTATACCCAACAAAAAATTCAGGATTAGGCAAAGATGAAGGAACATTTCACCTTTAAATAACACAAAATATCTACTGTTTTAAAAGCACAATACAAGGAATGGATCTCGATTCTTAATAGCTGACAAGTTTTTCAGGGAAAGCTCTAGAGAGTATACAGACGTAAAGAAAAAGGATGATCCAGGGGTTAAGGTCCAAGCTTGGGACTCTGGTGACCTGGACTTGATGTCTTGCTCTACCACTGATGTTCTGCATGACTGCTAATGTGCTGTGCATTGTTCAAAAAAGATATTGCAGAACTAAACGGGGTTCAGAAACAGGATAATAAGAATGATCAAGGATTTGATTAAACTTTCATATGCAGAGAGCTTGAAAAGTTTAATTGTTTAACAGAGAAAAATGTTGAATGAATGCCTATGATAAAAGTATATAAAATAATTATTGGCATAGAAACTTCCACACCACCTGTCACATGCAAAAAGAACAAGGGGACATTCAATTAAATTAAAAGGTAGCAAAATCAAACCTGATAAAAGGTAAAATTGTGTCAACAAAATCTATTTAGTACTCCTGGGCGAATTCTGTCACAAAAAACAACAACAAACATGCACAGTATATTACAACATTCTACAAAATTTTGCATTTTTAATTTGTCACAACAATAACATGATGCCAATTTCAATTATTTTGGTAATATTTTAGTCTCATCCAGTCTGGAAATTCCAGTGTTCTATGTGCGATAGCTTATTTCAGTGACATTTTTGTGTCTAATAAGCAATGCTTTTCCCCTCACAAACTCAACTGGGGAACACTTAAAACTTTTGACACTTAAAACTTTTATACCTATGGAATTTATTAACAGAAAAACCATTGGAGTTTGGCAACAATAATTGCTTTTTGGACTCAAATGTTACAAGTTAATTTTTAGCCTAGAGTAAACACAGTCTCCGCACAAAAATAATTGTAATGCAGGTGCATGCAGGTCAGCTTAAGGTACATCGACTCCAGCTACATTATTTATCTTAAGCTGACCTTCCACCCCACAGTGTAGTCCTGGCCACAGTGTAATGCCAATCCACAGATGTTATGTCATCTGTGTACCCCAATACTAACCTAACAACCAAAAAAGGCTGCAAGCAGGAAGAACTGAGGTGTCACCTAGACTCATTAGTTCAAATTAAAGCAGCCTTCTCTGATGCTATAAAACAAAAAGAATGCCCCTAACCAAATGGAAATATACTGCACTAACATAAGTTAATAGAGACGTCTCTTTTTACAAGAGGGAATAAGCCACATGTAAACATTCAGTACATACACTTCAATATTAAGGATATAATTACTTACAAAACAGAATTACTACACAGGGTAAGAAATAGATATTTCACAAAATATGGCAAGGAGACTTATGTGCTCCAAAGGAATCCACTTTCAGGTACAGCAAGGCCACATTTAAATTCTCCTTGCAATACAATGTTGAGGCAATAATGTTTTGTAAAACTATACAATAAATTCCAAGTGACTGCCCTGAAAATCTCAAGAGGCAAGACTGACCTGAGGCTGGCTACTACTGCTGCCACTGCTCTGGTTGAATGAGCTCTAATCTGACCCTCAAGTGACAATCCTATTTAAGAATAACAATGAGAAATACATGAAGACAAACATTATGGCACAGTTCTCTTTGTCAAAGTCTGACCTAACGGGTTGGTAACAGAGCAAACAAAACGCTTAACTGCTCAGGTTTCACTATTGAACTTTAAAGCACTCCACCTATAAATCAGAAGGCTTTTTTCCACCTTAAAATTTTATTGTCCTTCATGTTAAGGTTAGGGAAAATATGATCTGAGTAGAACCATTCCCGTGGTGCATTCAGGACAGGACATGGCCTTATTCTTAAAGAATCAAGTGAAAGATTTTTCACAGCAGCTTGATTCCACTTACTATTGTGTCCCCAAAGGTATGTCTACACTGCAATGAAAAGAGTGTGGTTTGTTCAGGTCAGCAGGCACGGCTTCTTGCAGCTCCCATTAGCTGGGCTCACTGGCCAGTATAGGCGACCAGCCTTGGAAGGGAGCCTGGACTCTGGAGTGTGAGGGTCTCAGAGCCCAGGCTTTCTATACTGATAGTTCAAGGCAACTGACATGAGCCAGCCATAGTTATTTTATTTTGGTGTACACAGACCCTACTCATTCTGAATGGATGGGAAACCTCTTCAGTCCCTCCCCTTCACTACACACATCCTCACCCAAGGGCTAATATATTAGAGAACTAGGTTTCATGACTGATTCTTGAGATCACAATTTTCCCTTGTATACTCATTGGCTTAGTCTACACTGTAGGGTTTTTGCGCAAAAAGCCTTTTGCGGAAGAGTTCTTGTGCAAAAACTTCTTGAGCAAAAGCACGTCCAGACCTCAAAGTGCATTGTAAAAGCGATGTGCTTTTGCGCAAGAGAGCATCCACACTGCATGGACGTCTTGCGCAAGGAAGCTCTAATGGCCATTCACAGAATGGCCATCAGAGCACCTGTGCTTTTTCCCATAGGAGTTTCTTGTGCAAAAAACCCCTGTGGAGCATCCACACCTGCCTTTTTATGCAAGAGCTATAGCGTAAAAAAGGAGTTATTCCTCGCGGGAAGAGGAATAACTCTACCGGCAAAAGCCC